ATCATGGCATATGACACAACATCATTGTCATTCTAATATAATGAAAATCAATGTGGTTGTGATATTTAAAGGGCGTTTGTATTTAGATTGTATTTGTAGTATGTATAACTTAAGAAGGAGCGTACAAAGAGATAAAGGGAAGGTCTAAAACCATACCCAGGATGTCAGAGGTTTGTTGAGACCCTTTAAATTTGATACCCTTAAATAAAATTAATTGGTTTGGAGGGTGCGCTGTGAGCTGCCGTCTGGCTGAAATCAGCAGATCCTTCAGCAGGTTCAGAAAGCAGCCATCTATTCCCACTCACTAACACAGCAAACCCTCCATCTGCAACCCCCACCTCCCCTGACATCTCACTGGCGGCTGTGTTCCAAGATCTGGAAAGCTCTGTGATATTTACTCTACATTAGGGGAAGGCAACGTCAGTCCAACATCAGAGTGCCAATGTCCTGCAGCTTTTGCTTGCATCTCTGCTCCAACACACCTCGAACAAAAGGCCAAATTCCTTCCTTGGCATGTCTGTAAGTTAAGCAGAGGCCTGGCCATTAACTATTCATTTGTTTCAGGTGTGTCGAAGAAGGGATGCATGCAAAAGCTGCAGGACAGTGTTACTCGACGTTGCTGCTCTGCACTGATATTTGCATTATTTCAACCAAGCCTTTGTTTGTAAAATAAATACAGCCTCTTGCATTCAAAGCGACACCGCAGGTGGCTATGGAGTGAACTGGTCTCATGTTTGGAGTATTTTTCCCCCACATTTTGTCAAACTACAAAGTTTGACAAAATGTTCTTTTCTTCACATCTGACTGGGAAATAGGATTACAGAACTGCTCACCTACAGGGCCGTCTTCCTAAGCTGAAAAAAGGTCACTAATCTGTAAAATAGCCAAGAGGTTCCCATGGTAACTGGTGGAGCTTCGCAGCTCAGCAGGGCAAATCTACTGCCAGGATCACTAATCGTTGTAAAATCCACACGTTTGACATTTATGGAACCGTTAGAGGAAGGAAGCCAAAGTAAGTCCCATTTATAGTTTAGCATAAACCATGTAGGAAGGTAATCTGGTCAGAAGAGACCAAATCTAAAGGTTTTTTTATTTGTTTTTATTTTGGTATTTATGTGTCTGCATTTGATCGTTCATGAACTTTGTTGATATTTTTAGATTTATAGATATTAAAAGTCCAGCAACATAAAATGAAGTTGGCAGTTTTAACTCAAAACGTGGAGTTATGCATGAAGGAGTTTAATTTCAGTGTTTGACTGCAATAGGGCCGAAACAATCAGATTAATCAATTATTTAATAATTGTCAACTAATATAGTAATCGATTAATCATTAACTGGAGCATAGAGACTGTAAAACATGCCTTTAGCTGAAAGAACGACCCACTTAGAGCAGTAACTATTCCAAGATTGTAAAAATTATATGAATATTTTGCAATTAAGATTAAAAAAGTCAATAATCTCTATCGAACTCCTCAAGTAGAAAAGTTTGAGTTTCACCTGGTTTAATTTGTTAAAAAGTCTTTCTTAAAGATTCCCATGCTATCTGATTATCAATCGATTTATCGAAAATAATCAACAGATTAATCAATTTGCAAAATAATCGTTAGTTGCAGCCAAAGACTGAAGCAACAGGGATCATTCCCATTTGATTGACTGACTTTATTGATTTTACAGTCTATATATGGACTTCTTACATCAGCTCAAATAGTTAAAGTAGAAAAAGAGGGTGCCAAAGGAAGAAAAAGGTGCATGGGATATATAAAGTNGACTTCTTACATCAGCTCAAATAGTTAAAGTAGAAAAAGAGGGTGCCAAAGGAAGAAAAAGGTGCATGGGATATATAAAGTTTATACAATGCCTCCACATATCACAGCTTTTTTTTTTTTTTTATAGTAGCATCATTATATAGGGCTATTGCACAGGGTGCTTACAAGGGTATTTATATGGATGGATATTTATATATATAGTTATTGCACTGGGTATCAAATGTAAAGAAACAGGTTATTGCACAGTGTATTAGGTAATAATTGCACATTTTACATTGCACAAGTTATTGCTGTTGTAGTGTCGCATTGTAGAGTCTGGTTGCAGCAGGGATGAATGACCTGCGGTTGCGCTCCTTTTTATAAACAGGGTGTAAAAGTCTTTCACTAAAAGAGCTGTTTAGCTCCTCTACAGTCTGGCGCAGGGGGTGGAAGGTGTTGTCCATGATGGATGTAAGCTTGGACAGCATCCTCCTCTCAGCCACTTCCTCCACTGAGTCCAGAACGCAGCCTGGGACAGAAGCGGCCTTTCTCACCAGTTTTTTCAGTCTCTTTCATTCCCGCTCTGAGTGCGGTAAAACTTAAGCTTTAATAGAGAGAAGAAAAGATGAATGGAGACTGCTGATGACATCAGAAGACAGGGAGGGACCTTATAGTGAGACAGCAACTGTCTCACTATAAGCAGCGTCTCACATTACAGCCAGAGCTACAGGAGGGATGGTTTAGATCAGTGTTAGATCCAGTCTAAGACCAGACCTTAATCTATTTGATCATTTGTCGCAAGCTATGAAAATACTGATTGAAGATCTAGGAGGAATCCAAGCTGACCGAGCTGGGAGGAAAAAACCTTAAGCTGTCTTTTAAAGAATGGAGGTCAAAAGGGCTGAAGGTCTAAAATGTCCAGATATGTATTATTATCAAAGACTTTAAATGGAATAAATACATCTGAGATCAACCAGAATGTTAGTTTCTCTGTTTTACAAAACTTTCTGTCCAACAAGGCGAGTTTATTTTACGTTGCACATTTCAGTGGCCAGACAATTTAAAGTGCTTTACATGAAGAAACAGATATAAAAGGAAAACAGAGAAAAGTACATTGCAGTGGCTTAAAGGCATTCAAATAATGAACATAAATACTTAAATTGAAAGTTGGACTTTAAAAAAAAAACTACTCTAAACAAGTTTTTAATAATGATTTAAATAAATGTAAGGGTTTCAACACTTTTACAAACCCTGATTAGGAAGTGAACAGGGGTAGATCATCATTGAGTGATAGCAATATCTCTCCTCAGTTTATGTTCCTCACTATTTGCCTGCATGATGGATTTTCTATTACAACTTTATTGTCTTTAAAGTAAAAAAGAGAAAACGACTAACTTGTTGTTCTCTAGACAAAGTAGTGCATTTATGGTGCTACTGAAGCAGAGTTTGTTACAAGTAACATTCAGCCTGTCAGGTCAGAGGATGTTTATCTACGGAAGAGGATTAGGGTCACTGAAAAAAAAAAAGGAAACTGATTTTTACATTTTATTTTAGTTTAACATGGGAAAAAAGTCAGAATTCTGACTGAATTCTGACAATAAAAAAGTCAGAATTCTGAGATTAAAGTCAGAATTCTGACTTTTTCCCATACTATACTGAAATAAAATTTAAAAAATCAGTTAACTTTTTTTTTTTTCCCAGTGGCCCTAATCCTCTTCCGTATTTATCCCCTGAACCTTAAAAAAAAAAAAAAAAAAAAAAAAAATCAGTTCATGCAATGACGGATATTGGCCACCAGATGGCGCAAAAGATCCAAACTAAAGAGCTCATTAAATCAGTCTTCTATTAAATGCTATTTTAGATTTTAATATCTAAACAGCCATTAGTAACATTAAAGCACTGAGCTTTGAGGAAGTAAATACCCTATATCTGATATACAGCTTTGCTTTCTGTCCCAACTAAATGTTTGAACATCTTAAAATCAGCCAAAGACTAAGTTTAAAATGCTGTTTTCAATCAAAAGCTCTCCACACTAACTAGGCTCCACAGCAATAACTGCTTTTGGCAGCATTAAATGCATTAGAGTGTTTGCAATGAGGCTTTCAGAGGAGACCTGTGAAGGTTTTAGTTTTCAGCCACAGTGCAAGATTTCTTATGAAAATGAACCTCTTTAATCTGACCTGTACTGTTCAGCCTATACTTTGACTAGGCCCCTATAAAGCTGTGATTGTTCAGTTTTTTGCTGTGTTTTAGCCTTTTGGATTTGTTGGTCAGCTTCATACTGTCGCTCTGGTAGAAGTTTTAACGTCACAAACTGATGCCCAGATATATTTTTTTTAAGGGTTTCATGCTAGAGAGCAGAATTTGGGGTTCTATCATTTACAGGAAGTCATCAAAGTCCTGAGGAGGCAAAGCGACCTGAGACCATCTCAATTCTCTTGGATTAGCAGGTTTCGCCTCTAAACTCTTCCACTGTTGCTAAGGAAATGTTTCCACTGTTTGGCGAGTCTCTAATTGTTGAATTGTGAACTCTGACCTTTGCTGAAACAAGTATCACCCGCAGTGCTTTAGATTAGGGCTGCAACTAACAAGCATTTTAATAATTGATTAGCCTGTAGATAATATATAGCAAAATGTTCCTTAAAGACTTAAAAAAACAATTTTTTTTTTTATAGAATTTAAACAGCTGAAACTCAAATTTAAAGTATTTATACGTTTCTTTTTGCAGTTTTGGAATAATTCCTGCTAAAGAGTGTTGCTCTGTCAGCCAAATGTTTTAAAGTCTCAATACTCCAGTTAAACAAAATTAATCAATTATTAAATGAACAATTACTTCAATAATCAGTTAATCATGACTAATCTGAATATTTCAGCTCTACTTTAGATGTTTTGGATTTGTATGACTTTTATAAGTTTCTTTAGATCAGATTCCTTAAATTTCAAAAAAAGTAAAAAAATTTATATATATATATTTATCAGCATATTTAGATCAGATCAGGGTATTAAATCTTGTGGTGAGATCCATTTGCCTACTTCATGTCGTCAGACAGGTCCATTTTAGTGAATTGAAGTGGTTTTAATCTAATTCATTTGATATTCCTGACAAGATCTGTTTAGGTCCCTTTCTACTCGCTAACAAAATAAAGTTAAATTTGAAAACTGGATTTCTTTTAGTTTAATCTAAGTTTGATGATGTGCAACATCTGGGTTAAAAAAAAACAAACATTTTAACATCGACAGACACAGAGCGAGTGCTTCAATAATTTTTATTTTACTTTAAAAAAGAGGGAAAAAGTTCACATTGACATTGAGTCGCATTATTACAGCATATTGAAATTCTTCTCAAAGGAAGTAAAATACAACAGTTTTTCATTTCTTTTTATTCTTATATTAAAAATATCAAATATTACTCATCTAGCAGTGCTTGTATGTTCCTTAAGATATGTAGGCTTGATAGCAGAAAGGTTGGCTTTGCATGGGTTTGTTTCTGTTCATGACATTAATGACCTACCTTTGTGTTACCCCACCTGATTTCATGGACAAGCTGAACATGCAATGAGGGCGTCTAAACAAATCCTCCTACAGATAACACTGGTGCAGCAACACTTGGAACAGGCTTGAAATGCAAGAAGAAGCAGAAAAAGAACAAAAAAAAGGGGTCAACTGTTCCATCCATGGTGTTATCCCCCCCACCCCCCGTAATAAACCCTCATGTGCCCTCGCATGTTTACAAAGTGAGCAGAACTGAACCTGGTGATCCTCTCAGAACAGCTCACCTTCAACGACATGGTGAGAAAGAAAACTGACTAATAAAAAAACATCACTACCTGGATAAACTTCAAAAAACATACTCCTTGGAGAACATCTCTAGTAGCACAGAACTGTACAGGCACAAATATTATATATATAATTTTTAAAATAAATAGGGCTAGTTCAGCCTAGACTCAGTGGGAAAGGACCGACCCGAACCGAGTCACGATCCTTGCTGTTTCATGGGGCGGCTTATCAGCCACCTTCAACTTTAGTCCCTTCAACACTTCCTCACAGTCTCAGAGGAAATCATCCACAGTCCTACGCCCCCCCCCCAAAACACACACAAAGTCAGAAAGACCAAAAAGGAGAAGAAAACATGAGGAACTTTCTTTCTTTTTTATATAAAACACATAAATGCCGATTTTTCTGGAATGCCTCTGATTAGGAAACAAAAATTCAGCTCCTGAACCACCGCACCAGGCTGTGGTCTATAGACCCCCCCACTCGTGAGGCAGGTCATATTGCTGATGGGAGGAGTTTGTTTAATGACCACAAAGAGTTCGTCTTCCTCTCTTCACAGGGTGAATACCAGGCTGGGTTCAGATGGAGGAGTGAGGGACTGCGGTACAGATGAGCTGCCTGCTGGGAGCAGGAGTACTGAGTGAGGGGGGGTCCCCCCCCCCATCCCTGCTTAGGCGAAGCCCTGAGTGGGGTGGCAGCTTTAGACGTCAGTGGAGAAGTAGAGCGTGTTTCGCTTCAGTTCGGCAAAGGAGATGGGAGGATGCTGCAGGTAGTAGAGCAGAACCTGGACCTAAGAGAAGCAACAGATGGAGGAGTTATCAGGACTTAACCAACCCACATCAGCTGTGATCAGCTTTATAAACATACTGAGTTTATAGGAGATTCCAACAGAAAGCAGACAATACTGTTGAGTAACATCACTTTTTGGTAGAAACAGCAGAAACCCCAGCAGCTGTAGGTCTAATGTGGTACGTCTCCCTTACCACCATCTGCAGACTGATTCTTTTTTTTTTTCACCCAGATTTCTTTGCAATAAACCTCTCAGACAGACAGGAAGCATCTGCTAACAGTGATTATTAAGACTTTTCCCTGATTCATTTGGGCTTTTTAGACTTCAAATGTTCTAATAGGAATTTTCTTTTATCCAAAGCAGGAAGCTTCATGTCTAGTCCACCAGGGGGCAGTGTTCTGCTGCCTTCTGATGTGTCCCTGAATGAAGCGGCTAAATTATTTCCTCCAGCTTACATTCATTGAGAGTTTGGCTATTTTTTATTTTATTTTTTATTTAGGACTATTGAATTGGAGACGGATATAAACGCTGCATGATTGATGTTCTTTAATATTGGACCAACAGTAAAACCTTCTAATTTACTTCTAAGTCTCTCTTTTTAGGCTCTTTGATCTTTCCATCAACTGTAACCATCTCCCTCAGCATGATGCTACCGATACCATGTGTCAGCATGGGCTGGTGCCTTCAGAATACACAAACTGAATGGGTGATTAGAGGCCCTTAAACAGGTATTTGTTGTTTCACCTTCACAGTTTGCTAGGAACTCCAAAAGGGACTTCTGGGGACGTTTTTCCTGCTTTGCATTCAGGATGCACAGAGAGTCAGATGAATATCTGCCCTACCAACGGATTCTCCCAACTGAACTTTAAATCTATGCAGCTCCTTCAGAGTTACAATAAGCCTCATTAATAGAAAATATAAGTTTAGGTCATATTTCTGTTTTTATTCATTTGTTTCTAAGTAAAATTAGTTTTAGACGTACTTTGCCAGTTGTTTAGGCTTCTGTACGGTGGCCAGGAAGCTGCTTTGGTTTGGAAATGTATGTGAATAAATGAGCAACATTAGAGCCTAAAACAGCCCATTTTCACATCACAAGGTAGAACGGAAAATGTTGATCCTACAGTTACCATGGTAACCATGACTGATTTTCTCAGCTTCTCTTTGAGCTGGACTATCACATCTTTGCAGTGTTGAATATGTGCTCTGCTAAACAAATATGCATATTGTGCTTAGAAGATTTTCTTTTTGAAAACCTGAATCCTTTTTTATTTCACAGCTCTTTATCGCTCCTTTAGATAAATCAGAGGTTGCTATCTCCAGTGTGATCAGTGCCATTAAGTGCTGTAAAAGTGTTTTTTCCTTAAAAATGCAACAGAATGCATTTAAGAAAAAGTCTGGATAAAAGTCTTTCCTGCAAAGACTCTCAGGACAAACAGCAGAGACCTGCCCTATTTATGGTGTTTACCTCCAACTTGTTTATCTAGCTCAGAGAAGACATCTGCTCGCATGAAAGCCGTCAGTCAGAATAAATAGATAAATAGAAGAACAAGCTAAATACAGCTGGGAGAATGGGTCCCTCTGAGAGGGGTCAGTGGGCCATGAGGGAGTCCAGTTAATCCAGGAAACATGCAGCAGCAGAGGAAACACGTGTTTAGTCACTTCTTAAAGGGGCTCCTCTTTCTTACCGTCTATCAACCAAATGAATGGAGACTGAAGGAGCATCAGGGAGGAACCGGAGCAGAAACAGTGGAAAGAGTTTTTTTTTTCATTTCTCAGTAGATCATTTATGTACCTGTGCCATGACGTCATGTGACCAGATGTCAGAGGCGCACGTGATGTGCTGTCCCTTGGCGCTCTCCGCCTCTGAGGGCCTGAGCAGGGTGGGGCCGAACACGGTGCCCAGGTTGTGGAGGGACATCTTGTTGATGGGCTCCTTCTCAGCCACCCTGCAGGAACAAGCAGCAGCGTTTGGTTTAGTAAAGGAAACGGATCATGATAAAACTAACGGTACAACGATCTAATTCAGAACCATGTCGTCAAACAGCTTTAAGTGATCCATGAATAAGATGCAGCGATTTTATGGGAAAATATAATTTCTGTGAAAGTTGGGGGATTGGAGGCCGAGTGGTAAGGCCAGTGTGCTTTGAGTCCAGAGGTTCTGAGTTTGAGCCAGACTGCCACTCTGGGTCTCTGAGCAAGACCCTAAACGCCACATTGCTCCCCAGGCGCCCCACGATGGCAGCCCACTGCTCCCCAAGGGGATGGGTTAAATGCAGAGTTAATTTCTCCAATGTGAGATCAACAAAGTTCAATTATTATTATTAAAGAGGATTATTTGTTAGTTTGAGTCAAATGATGATTAAACCTACACCCATTTTTTTTTTTAAATATAATAAACTGTTCAGATTTAGCCAGACTCTTCTATAACTCTGACTAAGAATGAAAGACATAAGATGCTTTTTAAATAATTAAACTCTTATAGCAAAGTTGTTTTTTTTGGCGATAACTTCTTTAAATTGTTAACAACCAAATGAAGCTATAATATCAAATAAATACAAACAAACATATTTTATGTAAAACTGCATTTTGGTTTCATAAATACGGCAGCTCTGCTTATGTTAATCAATTTATTCTCTTTCAATAAAGTAGTTCTTTAATGCAAGCATTAAATCTCCTGGTCGATGTTGATGAGATTTAAATGTGTTTTAAGGGTTATCCATCTATAAAACTCCCTAAATAATAAAACGCTAGTGACCCCTGTCTGACCTTTTGAGGTGGTCCAGCAGAGTGAGGAAGGTCATGAGGTTGGGGTCGGGCAGAGAGCGCAGAAGGTGCATCATGCAGTTCTCCTTGGCTGCAGGGTCAGAGAGAGCTAAAAGACAGAAGAGACATGTCCCCTTAGATCCAGACAGCCTTTTCTTTTAACTCTAAACTTGACGTCCTGCAGCTGATCCAGCTATCCTCCTACCTATCCCCTCCATGAAGGCCGGGTACAGACGGTCTGTGAGAAGAGGCTCTGGCAGCTCCCTGAAATACAGCTTGAGTGTTCCTGCGATGGCGTTGATGTCCATGTCGCTCAGCATCATCAGGATGTCTTTGGTATCTGGGAATGAAGACAGACGGGTCAGAGAGCGATCACGCAGCTGCTGGTGTACATGCGGGGAGCGTCTGGTTTAAAACATTTCTGGAGTGGATCTTTACTTGTGTCGAAAGCTTGTTTGAGTGCCTGGATGTCGGTGGCCACCCCTGAGATCCTGTAGATTCCCACTTCGTCGATCCCCCTCTTCTCCACCTCCTCAATGCACTGACGGACGATGTAAGGCACCTTGGAGCGCTCGCGCCTGTGGACGGTCGCCGCGGTCAGTGTTTTAGCAGATATGACATCAGAACTCCCTCTATTTGGTGACACTTACTTCGTAACCACGTTGATCTTGACTCCAAACACTCCGCTCTGTTTTTTGGACGGCGTCCTCTTCAGGCTGAGGTCCCGACTCGTAAACTTCATGGAGAACTCCACTTTGATCTGCAGATTAGGATTCAGACAGACTGTTTTAAACTCCTTCTGACACATTAACGCCACACATAGTTTGTCTGGAAAAATGCTCAAGTCAAAACTGTTTAGCGACAAAATAATCTGTTTTCCATGTACAGAGCAACCAGCTGTCATTTGGACTTCCTGTGGATACGGCCAGAAACACAGCTGTGTTAGAGACGGAGGCGCTGTCTCTGCTCCAGTATAAAAGGGAAACTCGACACCATCCTTACCCCGTTCATCTCGATGACATCCATGTGCCAGTTCTTGGACTGTACGGTCTGTGGGTCCAGCTGAAAGACACAACAGACAAACGCAGTGGTTAAAAGTTTGTTTTGACCAAATATAGGAAAAAGAACTTAATTTATGTTGTCATTTTTCCCAGAGGAGAGCTCAGCTTGATAAGAAAAGGATTGAAACACATGTTAATGTGCTCAACAGCTGAATTTGTAGCGCCTTTTTTCTGCTCCATGTCACATATTAGTTGATGATCCATGAAGATAAAGGATCTCTGGTCCCTCGAAAAAAAACCCAACTGAAATGTCTGAGTAACTTTTAGGAACCTTGGTATGTCTTAAAGCTCCGACCTCGTGCTGCAATTTATGATTCAGTTTGTTTGAATCAACGAGGAAACTGTTGAAGAGAAAAATACACCAAAGTTTTGTAGCTTAAAAACAACCTGAAGACCAAATAATGATTTAATTAAAGACAAAAAAAGCTCATCACTCTTGTTCCTGCCCGGTCTCGAACCGAGGACCTTTCGCGTGTTAGGCGAACGTGATAACCACTACACTACAGGAACTGATATGACTGACCACCTACCCCGAGATTTAATGAGAGGGAAGCATTTCAGACCACGTTAACATTAAAATGGGGGTTGCTCAGTGGCACAGTGCACTGCTGCTTTACAGCGAGAAGGTTCAGAGTTTGCATGTTCTCCCTGAGCATGCGTGGGTTCTCTCCGGGCACTCCGGCTTCCTCCCACAGTCCAGAAACATGACTGTTAGTTTAACTGGCTTCTCTAAGGTGTGAACCAAGTTGCCCTGGGATAGATTGGTGACCTGTCCAGGATGTGCACCGCCTGCTGCCTGTAAACAGCTGGAGATAGGCACCAGCAGGGCAACAGAAAATGGACGGATGGATGAACCTTAAAACTACTCATACATCATAAAGTGTTTCACCTTCGTCACGCTTTATGTGTCTGATACATAAAGATACAGTTTAAAAATCTTCCCAGCAGCACAGTCACAGTTCCTTCTTCTGGGATAAATGACGCCATTCCTGCTGCGCTTGCCCTCGGCGGATCCTCTCGGGTCCAATCACAGCTCCAGAAGCTTGGCCTTCTGCTCATTGTTTTAAGTCCGCAGTAGTCTGCACACTCTGCATGAGGCCTAAACAACTAAGTAGCTTTTTATTGCTGCTTTTAGCATCTGCCATTACACCTCTACACACCATTAAACATTGTCTCCAAGTTCATTTCATCAGCTCTTAAAGGCATCATTTAGTTCTCATTCCATGCATTCCTCAAACTGCTGCTGCATGTTTTTCCCAGCAGGGTTGGCGTTTGTGTCAAAGGATGGTTAATCACCACAACTGTGGACAGTTACTGCCAGGAAGGGAGCTGGACTCTATGATGACGCCTCTTCTCGCTAACTGGAGGAGACTCAAAAGAAAAAAACTGCTGTTTCATAGATTTACACAAACACCTGATTAAATGTGACTCAAACAGGGTTGTAAAATCAGAGGATTCATTACAGGCAGCGGATGAACTCACTGACCCTTTCTGGATCCTCAGACCAGGCTTCTTTTTATTAAAAAATACTCCACTCAGGATTTTGACCTGTTGGCCTTCCCCTGGCTTTCATGGGAAATGACTTCCTCTGACCCGCTGGGCATGCATCAAGCAGACTGACATAGCTTGTATCTATTCAGAATACTGCAGCAGGAACTCTCCTTTCCACCAGCGTGGTCATGAAACCCATTATGCTTTGCACCTGTTGTTTCAGGGAATTTACTAAAAATGATTTCCAAAGCAGAACTTTTTTTGTAGAACAACTATCCACACTGGGCTTTCTATAACTATTTGTTAAAAACTCAACAAGTTGATTTTTCTGAACTCCAATACAGACATAAAATACTTAGAAGAGTTTGTAAAATGCATTACCAAAAATGTGGTTAGACTGGATGTTCAGATATGATTCCATCTATTAGCATAAAGGCTTATTATGGACACACGGGAAGAAAGAACAATGTAAAAGAAAACAGTCTAATATTTTAAACTGATCCTACGCCCAATCACAGCCTCAGATATTTAGAACTTAATATTGAAATTACTGCCTCCTACTGTAGCTGAGGCGTTACTGCCTAATTGAATCCCAGAAAGCACATGGGCACAAGCTTTTTTACAAAAACAAAGGAAATACGATCTTAAAAAAAATAAAATAAAATGAAATAAAGGAAAAAAATATTTAACTGCAGCTTAAATGTCAGAAAGATGTCTGCAGGGTGTGAAAATGTAACGACTTGTGACTTAGTGACGGCTGTTTCCAGGAAGCGAGAGAAGTCATCTCGAAAGACAAACAAACAGAGATAGAACCAGCAGAAAGAAAATAAATATTTTCTGGTGTCTTTCAGGATAACACATCTTTGGCCAGCAAGTTCTTTTTGAAGCCCCCTCTTAAAATGAGATAATTACATATTATAAGCTTAAAATAAGATAATGGAGTTTTTTTTTTTTTTTTTTTCGATTCTTAATTCTTCTTTTTCCTTTAGGAATTTTTTTTCCCGGTTTTCTTCAGGGGGGATTAACCCATTTAAAAGGAAAAACGACAACAAGCTTCTACTTTTTGCAGCATAAATGTGTGACATCAATGACTTCCTGTTAAACCATTTAATTTGTTCTGTTTTCCTTATCTGATACACTTGGTCTGGCTTCCTTACATGTGGCCAACTGAACCTGATCTCCTGTACTTACTTTCACTTTTCAGCAGGAAACCATGATTCAGCCCACATGCAGACATTAAAGAAAACTCATGGCTAGTGGAAATATGAACGACCAGCCATCAGCCCGGTCGTACAGGGTGTACCGTACTCTGATCTGACAGCTGATTAGATACACTCTGCACTTCAACAAGCTACTGCTGTGCTATTTTTACTGCTGGAAGAAAGGGGGACCAACTGATTTTGAGAACCAAATAAAAAGGCTGTTCCCGCCCGGTTTCGAACCGAGGACCTTTCGCGTGTTAGGCGAACGTGATAACCACTACACTACGGGAACTGGCTGATGCCCCCTCCCCCTACTGCTTGTCTTATCACTGTACCCTGAGCCTCAGACAGCCACAGTTTCATAATCTCTCAGCATTTCTAAGAACCACAATCAATACATCAGCTCTGACTTACATGATAATTCACTCTTCACACTGAGAAATGAAAGACCAAAAAGGCATTAAGTGCTCTTGTTAAACAAACAGAGAACCGCTGTAAAAGTAATGAAAGGTAATAGTGATAATAATGAGGACAGCCTCATTAAACATTACCCAGTAGAAATCACCCTGCATTCACTGTGTTAGTTAAAGCACGCTGTTGACAACCTTCTGAAAACCGAGCAACTTGATCCTTTGATCCGCAAAATATTCTAATGAATTGCTGCTTTAATTCCTCCTTTGTGTTTAATCACAGTTCTCCTCTGCTGCTCTCTGCCTGATTAAATATTCATTCGGCTTTTTATTAGGTCTTTAATTAGAACGCAGAGGAAAACTTGCACGCCCGCTTGGCTTTAGCAGGATTAGGGAAAGTGTTTGTGCTGCGAGTCCCAGTTAGAACGTCGCAGTATGTTTGCTTCGTGGAATAGAGTCAGGGCAGCTATTTTTAGCCATATTGTTTACACGTTCATCAGTGGTTGGTCTATTTACTACACAGCTGATATAGGAGGTGTTCAACTCGGTTGCTATGCCTCCTTCTTTTACAAAATTGAGCAGTGATAAAAAAAAAAAAAAAAGATTTAGAGCAGTTTCCTTCACAGCCACTGTATGCAATATTCAGGAGCACAGAGAGGAGTGCTGCACTTCTGGAAGATGACTAAGCCTACAGCCTGGATGAGTAAGAGATCTGCAGCATAACTGAGTAAAGCCATGAGATCACTTCTGGACAAAACTGTCTAATATGGGAGGAATGAAATATAAAAATAATATAAAGACAGGATAATAATAGCCGCTTGTTGTAGGGAAAAAACCTCTAAATGTTTTTTAATCTGCAATGAAGTTAAAGCTGGTTGATGCATATTCTACACTTACAAAAAATCCTAAAATAAGTGCTTTAGTATTGCATTTTACTATATTGATAATCATTAAAAAAAAAAAAAAAGTTTATACTTTCATCATTCTAACAGTAAAAACCAGAATATTGCTAAAATCCCGTCTTGTGACTCAGTTTAGATACTGTTTTGCTAACGAGCTGTCATGCTGGAACATTATTATCACAATCATCTGTTCTTTAAACCAAACAATTAGAGGGTTATATTAGATACACTATACTATAGTGTACATTCCAAACAATGATGCTCTAACTGTAGATGATCTATGTGTTGGTTTCATTTCCCTTGATAAACCCTCATGTTTTCATAGGACTGAGGATCCTGCATAGCATAACTCTGAGCTCATTACCTCATTTTTCTGGTGATTTGTAATCTTTATCTCTGACAGCATGGAGGCCGTTAGAGACGAGTTTTCAGTGGAATAAAAGCGGCATTTTTAGCCCTGCACAGCATCTCTGTTCTTAGGTGATTAAAATATTCTTCTGCCTTAAAACCTCATTCTGTCATTAATCATAGTACGATAATCCCCGTCATCACTCACCTTAAACTACCTGGTAAAGTCTGTAATTAAACTCAAACCCACACCACCGGCTTAGAGGACCAATAGCTGGTTGTCGTCCTACAGGGGCAGAGGCCACCCTGCTCGCTTTTAGCCGTACAGCTAGGAGCAGGAGGTCATTATAAGTATTAACCTGAGAATATTTTACTGAGCTCCCGCTTGCCTCCTGAAACTCATCAACCAATCGCAATGCAGCACACAGAGGCACGGATAAGGGCCAATAAAGGGCTATGCCCGCTGGTGGGGACAGATGGAGATTTATGTGGCCTACATAAAAAGGCCATTAAAGGACTGGCTGGCATTTTAGGCAAGAGGGAGGGATGAACCCGAACATTTCATCTGCACTAATCAACACTTAAATGGAAGAGTGTAATTTCATATGAGGGCGAGACGAGTGACGTGCAGGCTAGCCGACAATGGTT